TGACACATAACAGAAGTAGGTAGAACACTTTCATGAAGCAGGTTTCTTCTTCCCCCACCACTGACTCTGCTCCGTCAGTACTTTGAGGTTGAAATAGTAAATTTTAGAAATTGATTTTCTTCAATGGAACTTGTCCAGAAATCCTTTAAATGCTTTCTTCTTATGAATTATCTGAAACAACGTAGTTTTAAGCTGCATCATTCACTTGGAATCGACCTCGTTAGTCAAAAACTTTGTTTTCTTTTTCCTGTCTATATATGGTAATCAGAATAAAAGTTTGACGAAGATAGACTTTTAGCAAGTGGAAAATATTTCCTTTCTCAGACCACAGAAGTAGTGCCTAAAGCTTATTCCTACAAAAAACTAGGCCACGGCTAAATAGTCTGGCTACCTGCTGCTGTGCTCACTCAGCCTAACTGCAAGAGTGGGTTTGTTTGAAAAGGGCACGATTAGAACCCTGTCTAGGTCACATAACTTGAAGAGGCGTTGGAAACCTTCCCTATAGACCTATTAAACAGCATTCCAGCTCATATAAAATGTACCAGTTGCAATAAAAAAACCCCCAAACTCTGCACACAAGCACAGAATGAACTCTGAGCAATTGGTATAAAGAAACTCAACAGCTGAGCTGTGCTCAATAGCACAAAAACCACTCACACAGAGTCCAAGGATGGATGGAATAAATTCCTGTTTCCATCTGAGTGAGCATTTTTCCTTGCTCACGCCACTCTAATCAAACCCTGAACCATAAATATAGGAAAAATTGCAGGGTTTGACAGGACTTGAAACTTCTTGCCACTTTGGCTCCCAATTATTTATTTGCCATGGAGAATCTCGAACTCTTCTCAATGTTTATCTCCTGATTTCTTATGCAGCAAAAATCAGACACGTATTTTAACACAAGGTGGTGTGATTATTTCCAGGAGAACTCTGGAACAGGGTCTGTGCCCCAACTGTTATGAATTACTCTTGGCAGGCTGGCGAATTTCAAAGCAATTGTGCTCATCGTTCTGTTCGCGGCAGCACAAACGATCAGCTCCTGCCCTTGCTGCAGAAGGCAACTTTTCAGGAAACATCTGCAAAGTCACCTTCCAGGGATCTGCTCTCCAGATGCTACAACTTCTTCAGTTTCAGCCCTCTCCTACGTTGTGCTTCTTCTTGAAATGAGGCCAACACAAGAGTGAAGCACAGCAAAACCACCAGCTGCCAGGGAAGTGGCGCAGCCCTGTGCTGCCGCGCCAGCCCACTGGAAAGGCACGGAGTAGAACCGCCAAAGAGAAACAGAAAGTGCCAACTCCACTCCCTGAAATTCCAGCAAACACACTCCAGAGTGGCCGATCATGCACGTCTAAATACAGGTGAGCATTTATTTTAACAAAAGAGAGAACTATTTCTACTTTTCTCTGATGCTCTTCAATTCAAGGAAGTCTAATATCCAAGATCTTTCGTAACAGAAGTAGGATAGAAAGAAAGATTTTCCCTGTGCAGTCCCACATTCGGTGCAGAACCTTTGACAGATGGCAACTTTAAATTCCAAGTGAGACGTTTTTAAACAAGGGATATCAAGCTAAGTATAGTAAGCATGCTGAAATTGAATGGCAAAAAGACAGAAAATAGCGTATTTTCAACTCAGACCGGAATATAAGCAGCAGTAAAGCTTTCCCAAGAATTTGCACTAAAAAAAAAAATACTGAAAACCATCTTACTGTACCATGTTTATTCATACCGCAACACTCGTACTCGTTGTAAAGATGCACTGAGGTCCACACACATTCCTGAAATTCATTGCACCTCCTTTCTTTCAATCTTACTCAAAATCTTATGATTTCCTTTTTCACACCTTTGAATTTTAAAACAATTATCCCTCCCAATGAAAAAAGGAAAACACTTGAACCCATCCACAGAAATTCACAAGACCCATTCAGAGGAAAGGAGCGTCTCCGTTCCCTCCCTGGCTCTCCAGCGGATCTTCTGCTCAGCTGCTTTCGCCGAAGCGAGTGGCGGGCTCCGCGCAGACACGTTACCTCCCACCGAGCAGGTGAAGTCACCCTCAGAGGTCTATAGATCCTGGCAAGGAAACTGGCTCAGGCACAAGGACAGGAAAAGCAGCAGATGGTAAAGTTAAAAATATTCCCAGAGAACGACAGCATCCCCTATGCCACCGGATAATAGAGAGGGGACCGCTGCTGCTCGCAGCTCCCCATCAGCCACCTGCTCAGCCCGTTGGAAATGAAAAAGCCGTCCCCAAAGAAGGAGCAGCAGGAAAAAAGCTGTAAAGCTCTGCTCAAAGTCGGCGGTGCACGCACGCAACATGCTGCGAAGCGCCCCGGCTCAGCAGGGCACAAAGTTGGGGAACGGCACTACGGGACCGTCGGAGCCGTTATCCCGTATCATCTTTTACAATCGCCGCTGTTTGCCATCCTGCGAGTACGAAACAGACTTTCCTGATGGAATTAAGAGGTGTGCCAGAGAAGAATATACTCCCTCCTTGCCTTTTTTCTTAGAGATTTACCTTCTGGAAGGTGCCATATGGAAGCTGTGCCAGACTAAGCCTTCAGCGACCTGCACTTCTTAGATGCTGACCTTCTGCAGCAGCAAAAAAAAGGGATTTAATTTCTCCTAGCAGGAAGTGGTTCTTCTCAAATCAAGTAATGAACTTTTCAACCCCTCTGCACATCTTTGAAAGCAAAAACAAAGCTCTAAAAGCAAATAATAGACTCAATTTGAAACCTGCCAAATTGCCTACATCTGGTTATTGCTCAACATTTCTGGTTAAAATGCTTTATTTTGCTGGAATCGTTTTATAGAACTGACAAAACGTTGGAAATTTTAAAATAACTTGCGCTCGTGTATGAAATGATCACAGCTGCGCCACCTCATTCCGCAGGAACACTGCCTGGAGAGGCATTTCTACGGGCTGCCAATCAGCAATTGCTGTAAACACCCAGATGGCCAATTTTGTCGCAGGACACGAGGCTGAGCCTCGCGGTGCAGCTCTGCTTTTTACTGCTCACAGCCCCAACGAGGCGCCCAGATGAAACGTTAATTCCTGAAGTCTCAGAGAAGCACGAGGCGGAGATAACCAGGCCCCTCTCTGAGAAGACCCTTCTGACCTCAACCACCCTCCTCTCCAGCGCAGGCAGTTCGACTTGCCTGTTCTGTGGCACCCAGAAATCCCTTACCGCCTGGAATACCGTGTTCAGCAGATATTCTCGCAGCCCCTTACGCTTATTCACCCTTCCAGCACAAACAAGTTGTTAGTATCCGTGCACTATCCACAGCAGCCTGCTGATCTGTACTAATCGATTTGCTTTGCCAAGACCAGCGCAGATCCAAAGTGCGTGCCAAGGTGAACATCTCAAAACATTGCAGGTCTTCTCAGATGCATATTGTTCTGATACGGTCCTAAGCATTACTGTACTCACACTCCTGTCCACTCCGAAAACACTGTGATGATTTTTAACTGCTGGCCACGAGAACACCAGCAACCTTCCAAACCAACAGTAACAGTAATCGACTGGTAGTTTGTTTCTTGGGTTATGCAAGTTACGCTGTGACACTTTAGAAGCCCATGCATGAGCACAATGACACACGGGACCTCCTCCTTCAAAGCCACCGTAAGAGTACAGCCACATGTGCTTCTGTGCTTCAGGATGCAGAATCCAGTTTGACTGCAAGTCTCCAGTGAGAGCTCTGGGGATATGCAGTTTTCCACCAAGAATAGAAGCATTTATAAATAAAACAAAAACTGATGTCTCATTACAGTTTATTTTACTACATAAGTATCTGCACAGTTACCTTGGAGTAGATGGAGGCAATTTAAGGCTCCCCACCACGGACCATTCCTACACTGCACAGGAGAAATGGATTTCCAACACATTTAAAAAAATAAGTACAAAATGCTTTCTGATAGTTTAAGAAAAAAAAAAAAAGAGACAAAAAAAAAGATAGAGGTAAACTAAAGCATGAATACATTTAGTGAGTGCAGATGTAGCTCTTGGATAATGTTGTTCACTGCACGAAAACTGAGACTTTTGTGGTTCAACAAGCCTCAGTCAGTGACAATCCTGACAAACCCTGGGTTTGCCCAGCGCACTTACCAGCCCCAGAGCCAGGAAGGCCATTAGTGTTCTAGTGGCAGCAGGTGACAGAGGAGGCAGCGATCCATCATCGTTTCCACCTCTCCCCGCCATCCCAACACTACCAGGAGAACGTCATCCTCAACACAGTGTTCTTGATCACCTCCGAACAGCCGAGATTCGGCTGCAAGGTGGGTCATTCACTGCCAGTTTACGGCTGCTCGAACAGACCAGAGAGGGAACTCCCGACGACTCTCATCCTGAGATGAGATCAAGCTTCCCAACAACAGGCACTAACCGTGAAGCTGGCCAGACCCCAATCCTGTCCAGGTTGATTTTGCTCACTGTGCTGCAGCCACAAGAGTTCTGCTGCCCAGCTGGCTGGTAGCTGCCTTGCATTTTTCTTTGGTTTCAAAGCTGTGTTTGAGTATCTCCCTGCATTGCTGTGACACTACAGCAGTGCAGACGGGAAAACCAGTAACTGCAGGGAGTTTCATTGTATTTGGCACACTTGGAAAGAAATCATAAACATTTCAGCGTTCGGTCTGTATTTTCGAAATTGCTGAAAGAGATATTTTGCTTCTACATGTTCCAATGAAAAAAAGAAAAAGAATTTTCTATAGAGGACGACTGTTCAAAGAATTAGCTGTTTTCCCTAAAAAGAAACTGCATATTCAAAAAAGGAAAAGTAACTCACTAGGTGTAGATATCTAAGGGGCTGTTTATTGTAGCCCCTCACCCAGGCTCATCACACCCTGCATATTTGTAATAATTTACGGATTCACTCTGGAGACTAGGATGAAGCCTTTGCCTACCTTTGGATTAGTTCGCTGCTGCAGTCGTCTTTCTTCCCTCTCTCTCTGCAAACGCTCAAATTCTTCTCTGATTTCAGCTGGAGTTCTCTTCCTTTCCACGACCTGCTCAAAAAGAAATCAAACCCAAAAGCTTACCAGAAAGAGGATGCTCAGGGTATCGCATTGCTGACAGGACGGAGGTCCACTGACCCGGTATGCTCTAACACGTTGTCCCTGCTGTTGCTGTAAGCCACTCTGCACCAATTTCAATACTCAAAGTTTGGAAGCAAACACCTGGGCCAGATCAAATGGGAGGCATGAGAAAAACCCCATGCTTTGAGAAAGGGAAACTGGTCTCGTTGTTTCTAATCCCTTGACGAAACCAAACCGCAAGTACAAGATACTGCGGCGCAGCCGTGACCAACAGCTACCCACTAGCTTCTCTACCAGGTGTAGAGACAGAAGTGAGAAGGACTGAAAGTTTCTGGCCTGATTAAGCAAGAGTCCTGTGATTTTTAGACTACGCTGATTCACAAATGTTTACGTGGCTCAGGGACTGCGGGTTTCAAACGGGTATGGCTCCAAGCATGGACAGAAAGAGTACTGGATTTGGCTTTTCAAAGTAAGATCGAGTCCACCACATGCAATTCCAAAATGTCTCTTACACGCTGCTATTGCTCCACATTTCTTGCTACTAACTCCAAATTTGACCTTGGTCCTGGCCTGACCCAATACAGTATGATTCTGCAACAAGCAGAGTAGTGCAATTGACTAAGACCAGCCCAGGCTAGCAAGGGGACTTAGCAACCAGAGAGCCAAACGGACAAGTTATCTTTCAAACCATAAGAACCAACCAAACAGAAAAAAACAAACAAAACCAAAATGCCCAGAAAGAAAAAGTAATTTCCAACTCAGAGGCTAGCTGATGCTGGGAAAAAAGTTTCAGATGAAAAAGATGAGACTAGATGGACAATAATGACACATTTGTCTCAAAGATGTTACCTGTCATGGTAATATCCTATTAGGAAACTCTGAATGTCAGGTTTATTATTCCCTTGTCAAGTGAAAAACCTAAGTATTCTTTGAAAATCCATCACGGTGCCTCAGCAGAGACAGAAATAACTAAACAAGGATGCCTTCAAACAAACAGGCATTTGTCACTATCACGGTGTCAGTGCAGCTCGAGATAACAAGAACGTCAGATAAAGGCGGGTTTAGTCAATTCCACCGGCCATAAGGTGCTAAATTTCTCTCACCTCCCATCCTTCCATTTCCAGTCCTCTCCTCCCATATATGTCATAGATGGCTCTGGTCTGTGGATCGCTAAGCACTGCAAGTTAAAAACCAAGAGAGGAGAGAACTCAGTTTTTGGTCTTCTCGTTGAACTTCAGACCAACCCACTAGTGTCATTCGGAATTCAAGCGCAGATCCCGGAAACATGCTGTTCTACAGTTGCCCTCAACTTTTACATTAACTCCCCTTAACGTTTTCACATGCTGTATTAACAGGACACACTGACTTCTCCCCCCAGTAAATTCCTGGTTTTTTTTTCTTACTTCTAAAGTCAAAAAGTGAAGAGAACACAAAAGACATGCAGACTAACCGAATACGCAGCGGGTTTTTAATGCTGCTGTCTTTGGCTGAAGGGTGACGTAAGCCCCCTAATAATCAATGGAATTAGTAGCAATTCATCAATAGAAGCCCCTGGAAACCTTCTGAGGACAAATGACTTCTATCTCTGCCTAGCTTTCAGAGCTCACTGGTGCCTCGCTCCCTGGTTCCGATCTTCCCTACCATCCCTGTCGACTGACCCTTCCACTCAGTCCAAACATGTGGCACGTGCCAAGCACAAACAAAGCAACCTCCATGGGGCAGTTCAGCCAAACATCAAATACAGGGTAACTGAAAAAACACATGTAGAATTTGAATATCCCAAAAAGCCACTTGATGCAACGGAGAAAATAAAATGCACCAGGAGACTGCAGAACAGTTACTTTGGAAAAAGACTGCACATAGAATTAAGAAGAATCTCTGAAATGTAAGGCATATTTAAATGAGTAATCTCTCATCCCACACCTTTCCTTAAAAAAAAAAATAAATAAAAAATCACCAGTATGCTTCCTACAGAGTTCCAAGACCAGCTTTCTCGTTATCATGTATTTATTTCCACTGAGGGGCAACTGATGAGTCTGCAGGGAGCTGGGCGTGTACACGACGGCAAAAAGAGGCTGCTGCCAGTAACTGAGCTTTGAGTCGAACTGCCTGAAGCTTATTGACCTTGCTAAATGTCACAGGCAGATACCATTTTTCAAAAATTCTGATAAAATAAACCTTTTGTTGTGTGATATTAAGAGATGGAAGAGGAGGGGGAGAAAACAGGCAGGAGGTGGGGAGGCTTATTTTCAAGATGTCAAAATTTTTGCTTGTAAAATATTACGCTCACGTTTGGTACTAAATGAGTAACAATTTACATCCACATCACAACGCAGAGCCAAGCCAAGCCACGGAATTCAAAGGGAATGCTGACTCCAATGCAAGACCTACTCACCACATTAAAATGAAATTACTAAAGCATCCTGAGTTTTTATTCCCCATGTCGTCAGTGTTAAGACCTTCACTGTTCTCCCCAGCAAAAGCTCCCATGTGTCCTAACGCCCAGCTAGGGACAATGGAAAAGACTCCACCCACGTTCAAGTCCAACTGGAAGAAACAAATGCTTATCACTAAGAAAACATGAGAGAAAAAAAAACGCACCCTTAGGTCATCTTTGAGGTTTAATAGAGGAATATTTATTCATCATTTTGCTTTAGTTTCTCTTCAGGCTACAGGACCAGCCATGTAGTTTGGCACACCAGTTTTTTTAAAGCAGAAGAGTCCTGTAATTCTAATCCACTGGCATTCCACACTTGCAAAACCCTGCAAGCTAATTCTAACGAACCACCTCCTTGTGCCTCAGTTACACCACCTATGGTGACGTCAGGATTTCAGTAAACGTCAGCTTAATTCAGAATAATTTTAAAGGGCTTTGGCACCTTTGGATGAGGAAAAACCCCTACCCACTCTGAATCCATTGTCCTTATCTCAGTCTTAGCACATGGAAGAACTTTCTGAGAAACAATGGAGACCACAGCCAGGTGACAGAGAACAAACTCAGGATGCATCATTCAAAAGTAAAATATGAAATTATCTTTCTGTTTGAAGCTTTTCAGCCCTCAGTCTCTTATGGAAGAGTCTTTCCAGAAGTAAGGGAAGTGGTGAAAAGATTATTTACAACACACAAGAAATAAGGCAGACTCCACATCTTGTTCAGTGCAGAATGTGCAGCGCATTGCTCCTCTGACTCGCAGGAGAGAAGCAGGAAACAAAGCACAGCTACGTATCAGCAAATTTAATGACTGCCTTGTAACAACACATCTTCTCCGAAAGGCACAGACACAGCCCTCCTCCTGGGAAAGCCCTGGAAACAGTTCCTGCAAACTGCAGATCTGCACTGACCTTCATAAGCTTGGTGAACGAGGTTGAAGAGCCGCTCGGCTTGCGTTTTGAGCTCGGGGTCCCTGTGCTTGTCCGGGTGGTACAGCATGCACAGCCGGCGGTAGGCAGCTTTCAGCTCCTCCTGAGAGGCCTGCGAAAAGCAGTGAGAATGAGTTAAAGCACAACCAATGCTGTATAAAAAAGACCATTCCCAAGATCAGCCCTAACAGAGAACTCCATCAGCTATTACATTACACTGCTTTTACTTACACAAAATCAAGAACGGACTTTTGTTTCGTTACATAAGTTAAAGAATGTTCAATTATGCCCACCAGTGTTTTCCACACTGTTCAGAGTGCAACAGTTCCTCAGTGCACACCTACGTACAAAAGGTTTACTAAAACCCACCCACCCAATCTGTGTTCATACATTGCTTTTGTTAGGCAACTACTGTCTCCTCCATTCCCTGTAGAAGAGCAAAGTCAGGATAACACCACTTAAATCCAGAGATGTACATCGAATTCTACTCATATTTCAATCTTGAACCCTCAAGTAGATAGTGTAACTATCAAAGAGCACTGACTTGTCACAGCAGTAAAGGGAGGAAATGTAAACCTACAGTGTTATACCCGTCCCTGGACTCCCCAGCACTCCTTTCCTCTCCAGTGAGGACTCTGCTGTGCTACGAGGAAGGCAGGCACGTCACCTGTCCGCAAATACACACTCACGGGCAGCAGGTGGACAACCAGAACAGTGTGTCACTAAATGCATCAAGAAAAAAAAGAAAGAAGAAAAGCTCTCCTCTTTACCACAACCACTCTGGAATTTCAGATGGCACCGGGCCTCGTGCCAAAGACACATCGTGGAAACAGCTTTCGGGTGGCTCTTTTGGAATCAATGGAATAAAACCCCTCACTCCTTCCATTAGCATCTCTCAGGAGACAGTCTCACAGCAGGATTATTTTTGACTCTAGAGAGTCCTGGTAACTTCCCCTTTCTCCTCTCATTCCTGCAACAGTCCTCACATTTCAGCAGCTGTCTACTCCTGGGAGCCTGGTTAACACCTATTTGGAAATGCAGCTGCCAAAATCAACCAGAACGTCCCCAAGAGGCGCAGGCAGTGCCCACAGCTACCAGCTGGCCCCTGACACAACTGTCCAGGCAAGCAGCACCTCCTGGGGCGTGGGAAGCCACGTCTCTGCACCAGAGAAACACGCAGAGTGAAATAACCGCAACAGCGCGGTGGGTACTCGCCGGCTGCCTCCGCGCAAGCCTCGTCCCTCGTATGGCAGCCAGGGGTTGCCAGGGGCAGGAACACACCGTCGGCAGGCGAGAAGGGGGCATCCAGGAAAGGACTTTTGATAACAGAATTTAGAGACACAAATTCCATTTACTCTGCATGCTCTTCAGTGACTGAAGCTTTCACAGTTTCGGCTGAGAAGGCAGGGGAGCGTATGGGTCTAAAATGGCACTCTTTAATCTAATTAATGATAAATGGTTTAATGTGCTATTGATTCTACAATAGAAACGAGCAGCTTCATTTTTCATAAATGCCACATTCGATAAAACGTTAGATCAGGCCCTTCATCATCACGGAGCAGCTCGGGTCAGCGGTTCAATATTTCATGAGCAATGGCCTCTCGGAAACCGCTAAAGAAACACTGACGCCGTTTCAAACAGCAATGAAACACTTTAGTCAGTAATAATCACGTGCAAGTTACATTTTCATTACCAAAATCCCAGGCAAAATTAAAAGGTGTCCCATCTCCCTGCCTGGGCTTTGAACGGCTTCACTGAATGTCTCAAACATGCCAGCACATTTCTGCTGGACTGAAGTCCATAAAAGATCAAACCCTTTTGCACACACGTACAAAATCGCGGCTCGGCTCGCTCTGCTCATCGGCTGCCAAGTCCAGGTTAGCCATCGTTTCGAGTTCGGTTGCTGCATCAGCCGAGCTGGCTCAGCACACAGAAACGCACGTTCTCCGCGTTCCACTGGACACTTCTACCGAATTTAATTAGCCAGGGGTAATTAGCAAAGCAGCCACGACTAGGTTAGAATTACTCCCTCAAAGACCATTCCAACTTGCTTTCCAGCTCCCTGCTGTTCCAGACTGAGTTTCCTGGTCTCTAGCAAAGAACTGAAGGCCTGGCTATGTTACCTATTAACCCTTTGCTATCAGTCTCCCAAGCAGCCGCAACCCTTGTGCAGTTCCCACCTCTTTCTTTTAGCTTCTGCACCTGCACGCTGCTGACATGGGGAAGGGCCAGTTTCGATCGCTGCTGAGTGATCTAAAAGCACAGCCCGCTGGCTTTAACGAGACTCGGGCTCGGGTCACCCAGAAAATTGTCTAAAAAGAGCACGCTTTACTGCACAGCGTTAGGAAGATCTGCAAAGAGAGTTATTGTCGCACATTCTTCCTTCAGAAGCACAGAAGATTTCCATAAATGAGACACAGGAGACTGCCACCAAGGCCACCAGGCTGACATTAACTGCAAAGACAGTTTTTTCAAAGCCATCAGACCAAATTGCTACTCCTTGAACTCCCATTACACGCAGTAGTAGCCATTCAGTAAAAGCCTTTCTCAGTCCCAACCGTTAACGCCTTGGCTGACGTGCCTGAACTCTGTTTCTATCTACACACACACGTGCATACAGCGTAACGTGTACTGCTGGGGCGTTTGATGGGACAAG